CATTTTATAATTTTTACATTTAATTCTTTTTTGGAAAAATAAATGTTCGTTCTCACGTTATTTCATCAGCTTGAGTTTCCATTTTGTATTTAGCAAGGTCACACATAAGCCATTTATCACCTTATTTTTACCTGTAGAAATATTCTGATTTTTGGAATTAACATATATAAGCATTTTATATACATATTATCAGTAGAACCTTCATGTTATTTCAACTAGTTTAAATTTTTTATCAATTTGACTTTATAACATTTTGAATCTATGTTTTTGTGGGTATTTGAATTTAACACAATTTTTCTTTTTCTGTTGTATGTGTATGTGTATGTGTTATTCTTGCAGTATTTACTAGAGATGAAAAGTTTAATTTTGCCTCCAGAACACATTCTGAAACGAGGTGATAGTGAAGCAATTGCTTATGCTTTCTTTCATCTTCAGCACTGGAAGCGAATAGAAGGTGCTCTTAATCTGTTACAGTGTACATGGGAAGGCAGTAAGTATTCTTTTCCAAATATAGCACGAATTTCTCTATTCATTGCATTCATGGGCAGTCTTTTTTAATGAGATTGTCTGAGTTACCGTAAGGATTTGTTGTTCAGATTGGTTTCCAAGTGAACTCAGTGGCATTATATTTGCTTTATTGGTAGAAGAAATAATTAATGTATTTATATTGATGCCACATTTGGCTACAAAAAGCCAAATGAGAAACTGTTATGTATTATACCGTATATTCATTTAAGTTACATATTTGTAAGAAAAGAAAATGAAAAGTTAGCCCTTTGGCTTATAAATTTTTTAATTTGTGGTTGAGCTATTGTTTTTATATTTAAAAAACTGGTCTGGTTTTGTTTTGTTTTCAGGTGTGCACAACATGAAACTATTTTTCTCACAACTAAATAACTCTATTCTTTCTTTTATTGTAAAATATTTATAACATAAAATTTACCATTTTAATCATTTTTAAGTGTACGGTTCAGTGGCATCATGTACATTCAGTGTTGTGCAACCATCACCACCATCCATCTCCAGAACTCTTTCTTCATCCCAAAGTGAGATTCTGTACCCATTAAATATGTAATAATAACTCCCCAGTCCTTCTTCCCTCTAGCGCCTGGCAGCCACTATTCTACTTTCTGTCTCTATGAGTTAGACTACTCTAGGTACGTCATGTAAGTAGAATCATGCAATATTTGTTCTTTTGTGTCTGGTTTATTTCACTTAGCATAGTATCTTCAAGGTTCATCTATGTCGTAGGATATGTCAGAATTTTATTCCTTTTTAAGACTGAATAATATTAATATTTCATTGTATGTATGTACCACATTTGTTTATCTGTCAGTAAACATTTGCATTGTTTCCACCTTTTGGCTATTGTGAATAGTGCTGCTATGAACACTGGTATACAAATATCTGTTTGAGTTCCTGCTTTCAATTCTTTTGGGTATATATCCAGAAGTAGAATTGCTAGATCATAAAATTCTATGTTTAATTTTTTGAAGAACCATAATACTGTTTTCCACAGCAGCTATATCATTTTACATCCCAATCAGCAATGCACAAAAGTTCCAATATTTCCAGATCCTTGACAACACTTGTTATTTCTTTTTGGTAATACCCATCCTAATGGGTGTGAAGTGGAATCTCATTGTAGTTTTGTTTTGCATTTCCCTAATAATTAGTGATGTTGAACATCTTTTCATGTGTTTATTGGCTATTTTTATATCTTCTACGCAGAATAATTTGGACTGGTTTTAGCTAACTATCACATCTTTTATTTGTTACTTCTTATAACCACCAAAAAAATGAAGAAACTTCAGCCAGGTGCAGTAGCTTATTGCTGTAATCCCAGCACTTTGAGAGGCTGAGGCGGGAGGATCACATGAGCCCAGGAGTTTGAGGCTGCAGTGAGCTATGATGATGCCTACTGCCGTCTAGCCTGGTTGACAGAGCAAGCCCCAGTCTCAAAAAAAAAAAAAAAAAAAGAAAAGAAAAGAAAGAAAGTGAAGAAACATAATCAAAATATTTTCTCATTTGGATTTGTATAATAATTCTCTAGGAAAGTATACCACAGCTATTGATAAAAATTCAATGTTCATTCACTAAAATTGTTTAACCTCCTGTTCCCAAACTTTGCACTGTGGCACCTTGGGATGTTGTAGCAATTCACAAGAGTGGTGATGGTCATTTAAAAATGAAATAAGAAAATTATTTTTTCTCCAATTTATATGTATGTTTTGCAAATTGTTGCTAAATTATTAGAACAAACTTTTTAAGTTATGTGGACTCACTACTTAATAAGTGGAATTATTAGATATTTCTTTGAGCCTAGGGCATTATAAAAAATTTTTGAGACTCGAAGGGCTCCTTGTGTCTTTGAACCAAGAAAATTTGGGAACCTCTGCATTAACCATTTGCTAAGGGCCAGACACTGTCAATATAAAGATTAATAAAACTGGGATTAGGTACTCAAGGAGCCGAATGTCTTTGAGTAATTAGACTTTTGCTTTTCCTCCAGTAGTCTATAAGCTCCTCAAAACCAGGTACTCTACTTCATTCACTTTATATGTGTTTTTACTGCCTAGCATTCTTCTTGGCACATAGGAAGTTTTCAAGTCTGTGATTTATACTGTATTTCATAAATCTTGATAAATTATTTACTAGTGTTATCACTCATTTGCTTATGACTTTGGACAAATAAATACTTTTTATTGTGGCAAAATAAAATCTATATTTTGACAAAAGCTTATAGAGTCAACCACTAAAGGAAAAACAAAAACCTTATCACAATTTTGATGAGTATAGCAGGTCCTCAAATAATATTTCATTCAATGTCATTTTGTTACAATGTTGATGAAGAAAAATATTGATTCCCAGACAGGGCCACTGATGGTGTGGAGTTCACATGTTCTCTCCATGTCTTTGTGGGTTTTTTCTGGGTACTCCAATTTCTTCCCACATCCCAAAGATGTACACATTAGGTTAATTGGTATGTCCAAATTGTCCCAATATGAGTGATGTGGTGTGGGTGTAAGTCCACCCTGTGATGGAATGGCATCCTATCCAGGGTTGGCTTCTGCATTGAATCCTGAGCTGTTGGGATAGGCTCCAGCCACCCTCAACTCTGAACTGGAATAATTGGGTAAATAATTATCTTACTTGTTTTTATAATCTTTCTTAAATGTATATATAGCTCACATTTATTTCAATGTTTAATATTAGAAGTGCTTTGGTCTTTATTTACAAGTTTGGTGATTTTTTCTTGAGTAGAAATATGCCATAGGAACTTAACTCTTGTTTAGCCTATGGTAAATTGGTTTTATTGTATTAATATATTGTTTCACTTAAAGTCGCAGTTTTTAAGAACCTACTGATGATGTTAAGTGAGGACTTACTTAGCTAGTGGAATAGATCAATAGGATTTCTTCTTTAATAAATCTGCAAGAGTTGGTGATAATCTAGATCAGGGGTGGACAAACTTTTTCTGTAAAGTGTCAGATAGTATTTACTATTATTTAATTTTAGGCTTTGTGGGCCATATAGTCTTCATCACAACCATTCAATTCTTGTAGCACAAAAGCAGCCTTAGACAATATGTAAATGAATGGCATGGCGGTGTTCCAATAAAATTTTATTTACAAAAGCAGATAGTGGGCCCAATCTGGTCAAAGGGCCATACTTTGATAACCCCTGATCTAGATTAAGATCTGCCCATTGAAAACTTTGGTGAACCTCATATGTGAAGTTAGGAGCCATTGAGAACTCTTTTAGGTTGCCAACAGTAGTGGCCACAACAAGTATACGCATGGTAATTTTATGAATATTCCTGTAAGAAGTGGAATTCATACCTCTGGAGTTGTCAATAATGTTTGTAATGAGGAGACTGAAGCAAAGAAGGACCCAGCCCGTCTTATCATCCAGTGCTCCCTTTAATTTTACTCCAGCCAGACTAGACCATTCATTGTTATCTAAATAAATCTTATTCTTCCCCTTATTCATTCTTTTGGTTACTTTGTTTCTTCCATCTAAAATGTCTCTCTAAAAAAGAAAATAGAATACTATGGAAAATTTTATTAAAATATGTCTCCAAAATAGCTTTGGTTTGTGGTATAGGATGGTGAGATGGAATTAAATGTCAACATATGTATTTTTTTCTCAGCTTTTAGAATGATTCCATACCCATTAGAGAAAGGACATCTATTTTACCCTTATCCCAGCTGCACAGAGACTGCTGATAGAGAGCTGTTACCTAGTAAGTAAATATTTTAGCTTTCCTAAACGTAAAAGTAATTGTTAGATTATTTTCCATTTTTAAAGTGCCTTTGGTTGAAATTCAGGACACTGTTTAAATACTATTGTAGCCACTTCTGGGATGTAGTTGCATAATTCAATTCATTTCCAAATATTTACTGAGCAAAACCCAGCGCTAGATGCAATGAAGGACATCAAGATTAAAGATATTAAAAAGAGCACTTATCTTATAAACATTTAGAAAAGAAATAATACGAATCCTTCACAAACTTTTAGAAAATAAAGGAGGAGGAATACTCCCCAACTCATTTGATGACACCAGTATTACCCTGATATCAAAATCAGACAAAGATATTATAAGAAAGGAAAACTATAAAACAATAGCACTCATGAATATAAGCACAAACATCTTCAACAAAATCTTAAGCAAACTGAATCCAGCAACATATAAAAAGGATTATATACCATGACCACATGGGATTTCCCTCACAAATGCAAGGTTGGTTTAACATCTGAAACTGTAATCACCATGTTAATAGAATAAAGGACAATAGATGCAGAAAAAACATTTGACAAAATCCAGCTCCAATTCATGATTTAAAAAACACTCAAAAAACTACAAATAGAAGGGAACTTCCTCAACTTGATAAAACATCTATGAAAAAACCCACAGTTAACATCATACGTAATGATGAAAGACTGAATGCTTTCCACCTAAGGTCAGGAATAAGGCAAGGATGTCTGTCCTCACCACTTCTATTCAGCATTGTACTAGAGATTCTAACCACTGTAATCAAGCAAGAAATATAAATAAAAGGCATTCATATTAGAAAGGAAGAAGTAAAACTGCCTTTATTCACAGATGGCATGATCCTCTATGCAGGAAATTGTAAGAAATCCATAAAAATACTGCTAGAACTAATTAATGTATTGAACAAGGTTGTAGGTTATAACACTAATATACAAAAATTGTATATCTGTATACTAACAATGAACAATCTGAAAATGAAATTTATAAAAATATTCCAATCACAGTAGCATCAAAAAGAACAAACTATTTAGGAATAAATTTTAAAAAAGGAATGTAACACTTATACACTAAAAGCTACAAAATATTGCTGAGAGAAATTAAAGAAAATCTAAATAAATGGAGAGACATTTCATGTTGATGGATCAGAAGACTCAATATTATTTAGATGACAGTTCTCCCCAAATTGATCTATAGATTCAGTACAATCCCTGTCAAAATCTCAGAATGGACTTTGTAAAAAATGACAAGCTGATCCTAAACTTTGTACAGAAAGGTAAAGGACCCAGAATAGCCAAAACAATCTTTACAAAGAAGAACGAAGTTGGAGGGGCTACACTTCCCGATTTGAGAAAGAGCAGTCAAAGAGTTAGGAGGAGGACCAGAAAATATGTAGGGTTATGATTGCTGAGAATGTTTTAGTCTAGTTCCTGCCTTCAGGAAGCCAGACTTATCAAAAGAATAGTCTACACTTTGTTTCTCAGCTGCCTTATCATCCACTCTTTTTCTCTGTGAGCTGGTAAATTCCTGTTTTAATTTTTTTTTTAATGATTTAACTGAGAAGTAAGCCTGCTGCAGGTTGTAAACACTAGTACCATATTTCCTTATGTGATGTAAACTTGTGCCAGTTTTTACAATACTGAGCCATTAGAACTGACATCTAGGAAGGAAAGTTGCAGTTTTACAATCATCAAACTTAATGAGCTGAAAAGTTCAGATAGATAAAAATTTAGGAGGAGAGATTATAACAAGTTGAGTATGCTGGTATTTTTCTCCCAGGGTCTTTTATTTTCCTCCATCTGCTGAGATAAGTGATCGCTGCTTTCTCTGAACTCTCAAAGTGCTTTGTGTGCTTCTTAATCTCCCCTTTTAGACTGTAAACTCTTTGAAGGACAAGACTCTTTTTGTTGTCCCTGTATCTCTGTAATGTTTGCCATAAAAATTGATATTCAATAAATGTTCTTTGAGTTAGTAAAATTCATTTATTTACTCTTATAAACAAGTCTTGTACATTGTAAATACTCAACAGAAATGTGAAATATTAGTTCCCTTTTCCTCCTTACCTATTCTGAACTCCTAGGCTGCTTACAGGCTAATAGAAAGACTGACAGACAGACAATGTGTTAAGTGCTGGATGTATGGAATAGATTATAAGAAAGCTTGAGGTGGGAGGGTCTCTCTAGGAGGTCAAGAGTGATTCTCAATCTCCTGAGTTGGGTGCCTTGGGGAATGGTGATCTATCATATGGCAGGATGAGCAGGTTTGGGAATAGGGGTGAGAGAAGTAAATAAGTTCAAGCTTTGACTATGTTGCCTGTGTAACATCTCATCCATTTACAAGTATGTACATGTATATGTATATATATGTATATGTCTTTATATGTTTAAATATCTTATTATCTACTTAACACATGTACATAAAAGTCTTTATATTTTGCATCTCTAAATAATATAAAATGTGTGTGTAAGATGTATTTGTAAGTGATGTGTACATTATAAAGTGTATATATAATATATAAATAGTAAATGTAGGCATACTTTGGGTATAAATAATGGAGAGCCACTTCAAACATAAATGGGAATTTGTGGGAAGAACACTGGGTTATCAAAGAATTCAAAAGCAACAATTACAGTTGGACCTCATAAGGGACTGGAACCAGGAACTAGAAGGTCATTAGGATTTCCAGGAGTCAGTTATCTGTATATCTCTATCTCTGGATGCCTTTTTCAGTCTCACCTGTTCTCACTTTCTCCTTCCCCAGACTCCTCTTTTCTTTGTAATCTCTCATTTCTGCTTCTCTTAGTGTATCTGCTTCATTCTTATATCTTTCTCTTTGCAGGTTGGCTTTCCCTTCATAGACAGCCACATGGCCAAACTTGATGCCCCTGTGGCTAAGCGTTTACATGTCATCAGTTTAGGCAAACAGTACAGAATGAATAATATCTCAATCCTACTTCTAAAACTTCTGGGAGAGAGAATCAGATTTATCCAGGTGTTCCTTCCTTGTCCAATCACCTGTAGCCTAGAAACAGGATCATGTTGTATAAACAAATTTGTCAGGAGTCCTAATAACTCTCTGTACATCTCACAAAATAGACTTTGGAGTCATCATTTTCCACATAGCAAAAGAAGTCCTAGGCATAAATGAGATCACTAAGGGAAACTGTATAGAATGAGAAGTGAACTGAGGGTAGAACCAGGGGCCACAGAAATGTCAAAGGAATGGATGGCAGGAGAAGAGTCGAAGATTCAGTGAAGGAGTGATCAGAGAGAAAGGACAAGAACTAAAACTAGCTATCTGAGAAACTGAAAGGAGGAAGAAATTTTCAAGTGATGAGGAGAATCTAAGATATTAGGTAAGGTAATTACTGAGAAGAATCCATTGACTTTAGCACGTAGGAGGTCATTAATGAGAGAAATTTCATTTTCCTTTCTAGGGTAGTGATAGTAGCACTTGTTCTATTTATTTTTCTTTTTAACAGGAAAAAGGATATTTAAGGCAAAGGAATTGATCTTAAATTATGGAACATTAATAAGCCTAAAATAATATCCCTTCTTTGTAAAGTATTACAAAAGTTGTCTAAGGCCAACTTTTACACAGTAATATGAATAAAATCAGCATTATTATCATGTTGTCAGCCATAAGCTGTAAGACCAGACAGTTTGCTTTTTTGGCAAGCCTTTTTAAATTCTAACTCCACATAGGATGCAAACTCCACGAGGTAGGACAGGAGGGATATGCTGGGTGGGGGGGTTGTTTGATTATATTGTATGTTAGAGTATTTTTCTGTCTTTGACTATGGTAGAATGAATAAATTTTTAATAATGTGGAGTTTTAATACCCAAGAGTACTTCATGTTTTTTGTTTTTAATTTTCCTTCAACCTTGATATGACTTATGGCATTCTGGAATTTGCTTATGGACCTCATAAGTTTAGACTTGAACCATTCCCCTAGTTCACATAGCTATTTAGTTGTCTTTTATGCCTCCTGATAAATTTTTCTCTCCAAGCCAGTGATGAAATTTGAACTTGCGTTCCAAGGGAGTGTTTCTGTGCTATTCAGTCATCCATTATATTGATGTATTAGCCAAACATTGACTGACAAATGAATCTACAGAAAGCAATCCAAAGGTCTCTCCTACAGTATAAAAATCTCATATTTTAGGAAATTTTCTTGCAAAACCTATGCAGTTTTCTATCTTATAAAGTAGGAATCATACTATCTCTTAAGTTTATTGAAAAACATTAAATGAGCTAATATAAATTAAAGCACTTTAAACCATAAAATGATACATAGTTTAGTTACTATTATTAATTTTACTGACTTGTATGTGTTTCCTATCTTCTCAAATACCAGGGTTTAATTCTCTTGGTTTGAAGTTGGGGAGAAGTAGTTAGCCTCTCATGGCTGAAGGACAGACAGGGCAGAAAGGACTGCTGACTGGTTCTTTGGGTGCTGAAAGCACATTGTTCTCTACAGTTTCTAATGTTTATAAATTTAAAACATTCAGTTTTGGTGTACTTTTACTTTAATCATGGCTCAAAGCTCTGAAAATTTTCTACACTTTTAATGAGTTTCGTTTTTGGTATAAACTTTCTGAATATAAGACAAAAATATCATAGCTATTGAAAGTAGCTTAGGTGTAATCTTCTCTGTGAATCATTATGTTTAAAAAAGTGAAATTTATAGCTGACCTTGGTTCAGCACTGAATTAGTCATCCCTTACTAATGCAGGATATTACATCAGGAATTCCTGGGTTAGTATCCAGCCCTGAGCAGTCAACTTCCTGGCCTAATGAAGTCCCAGAATAGTTCTCAATTTAATAGACATTTACTGAGCACCTACTGTGTGTCAAGCACTATAATAGGCTCATCTCAGTATTGTTATTTAAGTATTTTTGAATTTCAAATAAAATACAAATACTTGGGTATAATTGACAATGAAATATCCAATCACTACAAAAATAATATCTGAGTAAATGTGTAAATGTGGTAAAATAAGACAAAGGACGTCATTTGTGGCCAGGACCTAGGGCTTTGGTTTTCTAGTTCAATTTTTACAGTGCTTGATGAAATGCCGCATATAGAACACATTCATAACTTAGTAAAATTATTAAATGATGATGGTTCTTGGAAATCGTCAATGACATGTTTGTCTCTTTATACAGTCTTTGAGCTCCCAAAGAATCAGAATTAATAGCAACTCACATTTATTAAGCTCTTACAGTGTTCATTATAACAACTCCATAGCAACTTCTAGAGGGTTTAGCAACTTATTCAAGATCACACAGCTAATAAGTGACAAAGCTCTTTTTCAAAACCACCTCAGCATGACTTTATAATCAATGTTCTTTCCCACGATGCCATCCTGTTCCCAGGCCCCAGCACAGTCATCTAGCTGTGTCGATATGCTGTTGATGCTGGAATAAATAATGGAGAACTTTCTTCTACCTTGCTTGGCCAGAGACTTCTTGTACTTTTTTGCTATTTTTTTTTTTTTAAGACAGGGTCTCCCTCTGTTGCCCAGGCTAGAGTACAGTGGCATCATCATAGCTCACTACAACCTCAAACTCCTGGGCTAAAAGCAATCCTCCTTAACTCAGCCTCCCAAGTAGCTGGGACTGCAGGTGTGCGCCACCACACCCAACTAATTTTTCTATATGTTGTAGAGGTGAAGTATCACTATGTTTCTCAGGCTGTCTTGTGCTTTTTTAAAAAAGAAAAAAAGAATTCCTTTTTAGTTTTTAAACATAGATTTCATTTGAAAATATTAAGACTGTTTTACACTGTATTCTGAAATAAAATTGATTCTTACCTTTTCTCCCTTGCAGCCTTTCATCATGTTTCTGTTTACCCAAAGAAGGAGCTTCCTTTTTTCATCCATTTCACAGCAGGACTGTGTTCTTCTACAGCAATGATAGCCCTTCTCACACACCAGTTTCCTGAAATCATGGGTATTTTTGCTAAAGCTGTAAGTACGATCTCAAGGACTTGTGTGGAGTATTTGTAAAACACATAAGAAACCATCTCTGATCTACTTGTGCTGACCCAGTTGAGAAGTAGAAGATATTTGTTATAGTAAATTACAGAAATTGATTTGTAAAGTTGCTGCCATAAATATGTCAAACATGTTTTTTGTGTGTGATTTGAGCTATACTTCTGTTGCTTAAAAGTTTAAAGAATACAATATAATATTATAACGATATAACTATAACATTATAAACTTGGTTCTTATAGATCACTTTGGGTGATAACCCAGCACTTGTTACTAGCTAAAGAATAATCTCTTTTTTACCATTAATGCATTGTCTCTGACATTAAAAAAAAATTTCCTATTTTGTAAACAAGCCTTTTGATTCCGTTTAAATGAAATCGTTAGTTCTAGGGATTTCTGAACTTTAAATTAAAGAACACAACTAGGATGGAAAATAAGTAGGTAAGATAGGACAGATGAAACATTGCCCTGGGTACAGAATGTGCCTATATGCACAAAGGTTCTCCCAGTTATTGTGTCTGTGTGTTCTTATTGACCTTCCCCAAACTTGGGTATAGAACATGTATAGACCGTTATTTTCATTTTTACGCTTTAGTTTTGAACTGCTTCCCAATTTTCTGACCAGGAAATACTTAAGGACTGATATTAGAACACGTATCCCATGACTATTTACTCTTCTACATAAACTTATTAAGTAATGTCACTGGCTCAAAATATAATTACCAAAGATAATTCCCTTTAAGTCTCTAAGCCTTTTTAAAACTGTATCCTTCTTGTACATCTTTGAATTTTTACCAACTAGTAAGAGTTAAAACACGAGAACAAACTGCTGACTCATTATTTTCCCAAATATAAACACTGAGAACCACAAAAAAACTAGTCTTAGTAATGATTTTCTGTATTTTTCTCTATATACCTCCATTCTAAATCCCTGTTTCCTCACAATTTCTTTTCCTGCCTTAAGAATAGTTTATTTTGTGCCTTAAAGATTAGTTTGGCTTTCTTCTGGCACCAGTGGTAAGAGCACTGGTTTTCCTTTTTCCCTGAAGGTCAACCATTTAATGTGTTAAGTTGCCACTGGCTGTAGGCCTAGGAGTCTGAGTTTGCACTTGATTCTGGGTCAAGCTTCAAGAAGAATTACTTTCCACTGTTGTTTAGGGAGTATAGATATTTGGGTTGGAGATTGACTATTCTATTTCCTTTCAGTGTAAAAAGGAAGCTTAATGATCAGACCCATAACTCTGTTGTTTGCAATGGTGCTGATAGTTGAGTGAGTGCCTCTCAAACTGAAATTACCTTACTGTGTAATCTGGCATGGAAAAAAAATGGAATAAAAAGGGAATTCCATCCATTTAACAGCTGGAAAAAAAATGTGCAACTGTGTATTTGAGATCACAGGCAAGCAATAGGAGAGATGATTCTTGGGTTTCTCTCAGGGCACTGGGGTGGGAAGGAGGTGTAATAGAGCAAGGAGGGAGATCTAGAATCTAGAATAGATATGTAGCAATTGTTAGTAGCATATTTCTATGGGGTACTGACTAAAATTAATGTGGAGTGTACTCACTGTATGCTCTATCCATCATCGTTAGTATACAGTGTCTGCTTTTACCTAAGAGGTCACTAATGGCACCAGAAGAGCCTTTAGGATTACATAGCGTAAGTTACTTAGCACTCCTTTAGCAGAGTCTGAGAATGAATAATTACATATTTGAAAGTGAAAGCTTCCTTTTTAGACCAAAAGTGTTGATATACTGTGATTTTAGCTGATGAACAATAAACCAGCATTTATTCACTATCTTTTGGTATTTGTAGAGTTGTGGTACATAGTGTCAAAAATATGCCTGACAGTGAATTTTGATAGCCCCATTTTATCCCTGTAGCCTTTATAAGTACATTTAAAAGTTTTTTTAACTAAGTTATTTACTGAAAGTATTTGCAAATCAATAGTTGTTCTGCAGTTCCAAGAGCAGCTTCCATTTAACAGTTAATGGAAAATGATTACAATGTAAGGGGGTGTCCAGCTTATGAACACAACATATAAATGCCTTGTCAGACAAACAGCAAGGGAACCAGAGGCTCAAATTCGCCCTCGTAAAGTGTGCTATATGAATTAGGAACACTCACCGTCATCCAGGAACTTATTCAAAAGGCAGCACTTCAGGCACCACTCCAGACTTCCTGAATCAGAATCTGCATTTTAACAAGATCCCCAAGTGATCCTATGTGCACATTTAAAAGCTGAGATGCCCTGCTCTACTCTACCCCCGATATGAGGAATTTGGAACACCTGGATAGTGCCTCCTTGTCAAGGTGAAGAAGGGGCAGCATTGCAGAGTGTTGGAGGATAAACTCTGGAGGCAGACTGCTTTGCTTTGAATTCTGGCCCTGAAACTTACTGGCCGTACAACCTCAGTAAGTTACTTAACCTTTTCTACCATTAATTGTAAAATGACACTAGTACTACCTCTCATAGGCTTTGGTGAAGATTAAGTGAGTTTGAAATATATCATGTTCAGGACCATGTCTGCACACAGTAAAAAGTAGGTAAGTGCTGGCTGTTTTTGCCTCCTTCACTGTCATCATGATCATCACCAAAGTGCAACAATAGTGGGAAACCCTACCCTCTTCTTGTTTTGAGGAAATATGTCCTACAGTAAGCTCAAAGTGCATTTTTCCATAGAAACTGTAGTATAAGTGGTGGCTGAGCATCATTTAAAAAATACTAATTAGTATTATACTTCTGGTACCTTATGCTTATGTGAAAGTGGAGATAGGTATGTTTCACGCTCCAGGCACTTCAGTTCTGGTAGAACAGAACCTGTTCTGTTTGGTTAGCTGCAAACTGCCTATGTTAGGATTTTCAATAAAGTCAGCTATTTGGTGGCTAAAGTAGAAATTGATGTAGAATCTTTGAAACATACCCATTATTTAGGAAGGAAAAGTAATTTAAGAAAATTTCCTAAATTTCTTCATTGTTACTATTTTCTCTTCCTTATCTAATCTTTTTGTGTTAGCTCACATGCTAGAGCAAATTCAATTTGGATTTCTTAAAACGTATTTGTTATAAAAGTTGCTTTTTTGTGAAGCCAAGCACTGGGGATTGATTTTTAATAATTCTCACCATACATCAGATTTACATAAATAAAAGGGAATGAACTAGAATGGCTAGTTTTTAGTGCCTCTTCTTTTGCATGGTGTAAGGCTATGTGCAATAAGACTTCATTTTCAGCAACTTAGGAATTTTCCCCCTTGATTTTTCTCCTAGCTGAGATGAAAACTGAATCTGACATTAGACATAGAGCAATGAAAAAAAGTTGCATAAATCCCTGGAGATGTGGAATGTGCTGATATCAGAGCTGATATTCTCCAAGGCCAGAATTCCTGAAAAAGGAAAAATTGCTTTTAAGTGGTAGGTCATTTTCTCACCTGCTTTGAAGCCTGCTGGGTTAAATATGAGAGTTCAAAGTGAGGGTAGCCAGCAAACCAACTGAACTGGAATCCGATTCTGCTTATCTGAAAGGAGCTTCTTTATTTAAGAGCAGAACTGCCCTCTCCTTAGAGAACCAATCTTCATCTACTCTGGCCCCTTTCATTTCTTTCTTGCAAGAAAAGCTTTCTTCTTAGTAAGGCTTGGGAGGGTGTTATCATAACAGTGAAAAGACTTAAAGATGGTCTTTGGGGATTTCACTAACTTACTGATGAATTCAGGCTTGTGGCAAGGGACTTTAGTGCTTTGAATTCAGAAGTGTGTTTGAATATAAAAGTCCCTGTTTGAGTTTTAACTAAACAGGGAAGCCTTTGCAATGTTGATAGGAAAGAAGTGTTAATTATAGGTAAAGACAGAATCAAAAAGATTCCGAAATAAATTGTCTGTTTTACTAGGGCAAAACTTTGTTGAAATCTGTTTCACTGAACGCATATTGTAGCTGTGCTTGGGTGGGAATGGGCCCTGTTTTCACATACTTCTACTAATCTTAATGTGGGAAAGTGTGGTTGGACATGCCAGTGATGAATTTCTGAGCAACTCATAATTGGCTGGCTCCACTGTAACTAGGGCCTTACAGTCTGCTTGATTAATTCTTTAAGAACTACATTAGCCAAGTTGCATGATTTCCAAAGATATAGAAGGTCAGATGTTACACTAACAAAGGACCTCTCTACAGAATGTCTCACTGGGGTTTCTTCAGCCCCTTCCCAAAAATAATTAAAATTTTTCTTCCCAAATTGCATTTTTAAAAATGATAAGCAGATATAAATGCCAAGTGTCTTTTACTGAATAGTGAGCAAAACTTTTGGGAAGATTTGTTCACTATTCTCATTTTTTCTAGGGCAAAGATCATCTTCAGAACTAGGAGAGTTAATAAACAATTATAACTATATATTAACACATACTAATAGAAAATATATGATTATTTTCAAAGGTTCTTAGCTTTCCATTGTCATAACCAGTGATATGTAAATTGTTCATGGGTGAAAGACCTTTTTTTCTATTCTCCATCTCACTTCATTAATGCTAAAACCCTACAATAGTTGTATACCTCTTTATTACATACATAGGGCCACATTCAGAAATTAAACTGACATTTAAATACATTTCTTCACTTTGTTTAAAAATGGATTATTTTTCAAAGCCAAGAGACTTCTTTAGTTCATAAGAACTGATATAGTTTTAAAAACTTTTGAATTGTAACTAAACTTATATTTCTGTAAAATATTCTGTAACTGTGCTATTTCCATAATAATGCACATCTGAGGCATTTCCCGGAAACAAAACAGATAATAAAATGAGCTTATTATGTGACAGGTCAAAATTTTTATATGTTTACATTTTTGTTCCATTGTTGGTGCCCCTAAAGTCTCTTTTATACACACAAACACACACACACACACACACACACACACACACACACACACTCACACTCTCTCTCTCTGTCTCTTTCTGTCTCTCTGTCTCTCTCAATGGTGAGAAACTAACC